CTGTGCCCAAATGCCAGCCGTTTGCCACTATCCTGTGGCGGGCCCTTTCATTGTGGGCTGGTGCCGTGAAGTTGTCTGGCAAGTGATGCAACCGTTCTTTGATGAGGATGCTAGGAGTCACTAGCTCGCCCCGGTCATTCTCCCACAAGTGGTCGTGCCGATAGTGCCATGGGGCGAATTGCTGGCCGGCGTGCTCCCACCGGTGGAAGGTGTCGGAATCGATTTTGCCCTTCACTGAGCGGGGTATCGGGCGCCCTTCTGGGCCTGGAGCTGGTGTCGTCAGGGTTGGCAGTGTCTTCCCTTTGGCCAGGCACGTAGGTGGTTTCCACCCGTCTTGGAGGATTGTGTCGATGTTGTCCGGGGGCAGCTCGAAGGACAGCTGGTTAAGCCCATATAGCTTTGTCCACTGGATCTTCCATCCTAAGGCAGCGTCTTCAAATTGCTGCCACCCGGCATCTGACCACCACACTCGTGGTCTCTTGACTGTGCCCCAGTCCTGTGCGTCGACGATGATTCCTGGCACACCAATCTCATTTTCAAAGTGTTTGAGATCAGCTTTGCGGCTCATGATGACGTTTTCAATGAGCCTCAAGACCTTCCTGGTGCCGAAGATCGCTTCGGGTGCCGCGAACCAGCGCAGCATGGAGTCGAATTTCTGGCCTTCCGTGCCTTCTCTCCCGGCTGCGTGGGGGCGGATGCGGCTGAAGTCAGGGCATGGTGGAGCCGCGGCCAGCAGGATGGCGCACTCTCTGTTGGGGTCCAGTTCGTCGATGCGGTCTCTCAGGGCATCCTGGGTGTCCGAGAAAATGTCACCCCTCTGCTCGAGGTCGGGCCACCGGCTGCTCGAAATTCTGGTGCACTCCTCGTCGATCTCCCAGGAGATCCGGTGCCATATGCGGCGATTGCCCAACACGATGTCGGCTGCTTCGTGGGCCGTGCCACAGCCGTCGAAGACACTCAGGACCAGCCACCACTTGTGGATTGGTGTTGGGACTGTTGCCCCTGGGCCGATGTAGCGGGCCATTCGATCCTCTGTCTGCTGATGTGTGTGCTTCTGCCTCTTCGGCTCGGGTACTCCCTCTGGTTCAGGGGGAGCCCCGCGCTGTCCCTAGCCGGATGTCGTCCCGGCCGAGGAGCGCTTCCACGGCTGAGTCTGCCAGCTGTCATTGGCCTTCCACTGGGGCCACTCCCGCTTCCATGGGCGGTCTTGCGATGACTGGGAGGAGGTCCAGGATGAGGACTCGGTCCGGTCTTGCTTTCCGCCCCCTTTGCCTTTGTATCGGTTCGGCCGTGTCGGAGGCTTCTTCTGCTGTTGGTTGTCGACTGGGAGCTCCTTCATCAAGGCCGCCTGTAGTGCGCCCGTGTCGTCCATGAGGGTCTGGGTGCAATGGGCGAAGGAGTGTCCCTGCCTCATGAGCAGGGCGATGCGCCAGCCCCCATCGAGCCAGTAGGCTTTCAGCTGCTCTATTTTTCCCGGCCGGGATCTGAAGAGTTGCCTCCACCAGCTGATGTAATCCTTGATGTCGAGTTCATGGCCCAGTTGGCAGAGGGTCCAACATAGTTCGATGGCCTCCAAGGCATCCATCAAACTCAGGAGGCCTTTGGGGCTCCACTGCTGCTCCTCCTCGACCACGATCGTGTTGTACTCTTCATCGATGGTCAAACGGCTCTGAGCCTTTTGTTTGAGCTCTTTGTTGAGCGTGTTGAGTGAGCCGGAGCTGTCAAAGCACCTGGATTCGAGGATTTCGTGGAGCTGTGTCGGAGTGAACTGGTTGGAGATCCACCGTTCGTGCCAAATGCGAGCCATGACTCGTTCGGCCCCGACCAGGGCTCGCATCGGAAAGTCGCGGTGGCGCCCCGCGATTTCCGTGTCGGCATAGTATTTCAGGAGCTTCTGGAGTTCGGGTGGCGGGATTTCCCGCGGCACGTTGGGTGCCGGTTTGGTGTTGGTGCCGTCGGTGATGCCCATGCCCGGGTTTGTTGAGGGAATGCCGGGGCCCTGGCTGGGGTCTCCGCTGGAGGTGCCTGCCTGGCTCTCTTTGTCACGGCATTGCTTCCATAGGAATCGTAGCGCTGCTCGCACTACCGGTCCTTCTTCAGGGTCGATCTTCCATTCATGTCCTTCGATTTCGGTCCCGTCCAGCAGCGGCTGGTAAAGCAGCTCGTCGATCTCCTTGTACGAGTCTACCATCGCGGCGAGGAGGCCGACCGACAGGACTCGCTTGTCCTTCAGGTATCCGAGCAAGCGCTCGGGAAGGCCGCAGGCTGCCGCGGTGGAGGAAAGCTCCGCCGACATGGCCCGCATCGGGGTCGTGGGCGGCGAGGGGCCGCGTCTGTTCGTGCGCCCGAGATCGCCTGAGCCGGGAGATGACACGATTCGGTCGATCGCGGTACGATTCGCGAGTCGAGTCGAGAGGTCCGGAGGCCTCGGTGGTCTAAAGCTGAGTGAGGCCAACCGTAGGTGAACACGATTCGGACGAATGCGTGCGAACGCGGAACGAACCGAGAGGTCTGGGTGGCCTGGGTGGCCAAATCGACTGTGGGCCTCGCGGGTCGGCACTCGACGTGTGAGGTCTCGGGGCTTGAGGGTCCGCGGTCTCATATCCTTCAACTCTAAGGCCGGGGGCTTGGGCCTCTGTCGATCCGCTGCGACGGTGCCGACGTGCGACGGCCGATCAGCCCAGTGGTGCGTCCTTTCACTCGGAGGCGCCGCTCATCGACGAGGTGTCGGTCTCGTCCAAAGATCCGTGCATGACCCCCGTCTCGGGGGCGCCCCGGCTGCTCCAGGGGCGTTGGAGAACAAAACCGTCCGAGGCTTGGGCGGTCGATCGTGCTAATCTATGAAATCGGCCGGGCTGCTTGGCGTCTGCCCTCCGTTCGCCGTTCTGCAGGCGCGCGGCCATCTATTCCGGATTCCGGAGGGGGGTCCTATTGATGCCGCACGAGCGAGGGTCGTGCTAAGGCACTAGCCCGTCTCAGAAGTGGGCAGCGCAGGGCCCATGCAAGGTTGTACTCAATCGTCAGAAGGTTCGGCCTGGTCCGGGGGCTCCGCAATCGAGTGAAGTCGAGGGGCCTCGTTGATGCCGGATCCATGTGCGGTGGCCGCCTGAAAACTCTCAGTGGCAGTCAGACACGGTTCCAGCGGCCGTCACCGTGCGGCCGGGGCGTCAGGCCTGCTCGCCCGATCTCATGCCCGATGTGTCCCGCGTATGGCGCGACTCCGTCATGGGGGATTGGGGTCGTTCGGCCCCCTCAACGGAGGTGGACAGATCCTGGTATCGAATCCGGTTGACTTGAGTTCGTGTTCACGGCTGCTGGCTGTGCACGTAGGGTGCGATGAGAGGGAAACAAACGGCCGATCGTGCGACGCGACAATCGACACCAAGTCACCTATACTAAGGTCCGGGGCCCGGCACGCGAGGGCCGATGATGCGGTCCGACGATCGACACCAAGGCACCGATTCTAAGGTCCGTGGCCATGCCGTCAGTGTCTCCGGTCCGTCTCTGACTGGGTGGTCAACCACGAGAGGTCGGTCGAAGACGGTTTTTTTTATACCGGTCCAAGGTGCCGTGGGTGTCGCTCTCATGGCGACTCAAGCTCGAGACAGCGACGGGCCGATGCCAAGTCACCGGGGTCCTGGGAGGCCAAAGCCATCATAGCTGTGCTAATTGCCTCCACCTATCGATTGCGCCGGATCAGCGCGGCGTGGCCAATCAGGTGCACGTCCTCCAAGTACGCCATCAGCGTCGCAAACATGACCTCGACGCCCAAGCATTGGTCAGCTTCGCCCCTCTTTAGAATCGTCGGGCCACCGGCACGCTTTAGGACGTCACAATCAGCCACTGCTCCAGGCGGCTATTCGTCCACTCACTCAGGATTTCCTTCAGGGGCCTGGGCCCGATGCCTAGCGGGCTGTAAAAAAAGCAGACCTGCTCGGTCAAGTGGATGGTGGAAGGATGAGCGTCGTCGGTGGTCTGGAGAGCCAGCGTCAGGGCGGCCATGGTGATCGGGAGGATGCCGTTCGTAACGTAGTGGGTGTAACGTAGTGGGTGTATTGGAACCGGCTGATGTTCCACAGGTACTACAGAACATCGTCCATGCCGGCCCACGCATCGGGGTAGGATCGACCCCACCCGATCAACCAACGCGCCCGCTCGAAGGCCATGGCGTTAGCATCGGGTCTCTCGGCCATGGTCGGGGTGTTCAACCCCCAAAAAAAATTTGAGCCCTCGACCTTCGGTCGTTTTGCCTCGTGTCACTACGTACACCAAGCTATACTTCACAACAATTGCCGCCTTTTTGGTCGTTTTGCCTCGTGTCACTACGTACACCAAGCTGTACTTCACAACAATTGCCGCCTTTTTCAGCGCGCGCTAGCTTTCAAACAGTTGCTACTCTTATGCCTATACGAATATATATGTGTGTATATGTATATATGTATACCAATAAATGACCATTATAATCAGTTCTTATTTATTAATCTTTTCTAAATTACCTAAATATTTAATCCTAGCGTAACCCTACGTTTTTCTAGCGCGACGAAATAACATATCCATTTTAAATATCAAAATACCAAGCGATAGCCAAACAATTTCTAAACCTCTAAAAATATTCCTTATTTAATATATATTCCAATTTTTTTTTTTCGACTCAAGTAATAATAATTTATTAACACTAAATCGTTTATTAATACGTCGTCAATTCACTATTCAAATCAAATTTAGTCATTAATTAGGAGTGAAGCCACATGGTTCACTCGTCTAGCAGCCAAAAGAAGTTCAAAGGGCTGACCAATTAAAAATATTTAATAATCCGTACGTCAAGCTCGAATCTTTTAATATAAAATAAACCGACACACGAATTCAAACCCCCCGGAAATAAAAACGGGTTTCCCAAAACGTCAATCATCAACAAATCTAACGCAATAAAAATTCAAAAAATCCAAAAGATAATTTCATACATGTATATTTAATATATATATATATATTTAATTTATATTTTCTTAATCTATATTTGAGAAAAAGGTTCTGAAGTAGTAACGGGTACCTTCAGGACAAACAAAAAGGATTCCTTATGTTTGAATTATTTCAATTCAACCATTGTTTAAGGTTAACAATTGGCGTGTTTCACAAGATAGTAGACATTTGGTCGATTGACAAACAGAATGAGGATTCTTGAGGAGGATGATATATCTCGTCGCGAATGTATAATCTTCAATTTGAATCTCCAATATTGATCGAATGGAGCCTCACCACTCAGTGCCCACTGTGGACACTGTCGACGCCGAGGCACTCCGCACAATTGGCTAAAGGCGGCCGCAGCGAAGCGACACGTCGTGCCCTGCCGGTCGTCACGTTGTCACGGTGGCGTCGCGGGCGAAGGGAGGCCCTACGTAACACCTTGGGCTTACGAAAGAATTGAGGTGATAACCCCACCTGAAAATATTTGAAACAATTAATAGACTTCAATTTGACCACTTGCGAGCGATTTAGACTCTGTGGAGGGCTCCTTAACAGCTTACAACACCGATTGTGGAGAATGGCGATGAACCAGTGGACGGTAGACAAAAATGTTCCAAAACTTTTGAATGTATAAGACCGTCAGCCTTTCACACCAGAATACCAAGCGGTGGCCAAGCGATTTCTGAACCTCTGGGAACATTCCTTACTTAATACATATTCCCGGTTTTTTTCGACTCAAGTGGTGATAGTTTATTGACACTAAGTCGTTTGTTGGTACGTCGTCAGTTCACTGTTCAAATCAAATTTGGTCATTAATTAGGAGTGAAGCCACATGGCTCACTCGTCTGGCAGCCAGGAGAAGTCCAAAGGGCTGGTATCGATTGAAGGCCTGACTGCCGTGCTTTGATCCATGTGTTCTTATAGAAAAATCGAAAAATCGCAATTCTTTCGAGAGTTTCCCCTGATATTTCACATGGTATTCATAGAGGTCTGGAGAGAAAAATATAGATACATCCACAATCATCCACACATGTCACATATCTTTGAAAACATATCTGACTCATCCGGGGTGCAGCATAGCCTATACGTCTTGCTTTATTCCCTCACCTGTAGTCCTCCCACCAAGGTCCCGCCAAGGCACATCATTGAACATTGCACAAAGGTATCTGGCCTCCGCATGCGAACCCTCAAAAGGCAACCTTCTTCAAATATCTTTGATCTACAGAAATCTCCCTTGGCACAAGGTGTTCGCACCATTGGCTTTGATTTGGCAACGTGCAAAAGGCCACCAAAGCTGCCTCACCCAGGAATTATTCAGTCAATTTGTAAAGTCAAACAGGCCAAACACCATCTGTTGCATAATTCATAGTGCCGACTGATAAGCCTTCAAGAAACGAAGACAAATACCTAGTCCACATGCTGGCCAACACCACTTTCCACTGCATCGGTTGGCGGCAGCTTCACACCGGTTACAGGTCCAATGGTGAAGCCTGCAAGCCTTGCTAGTTGGAAGGCTTATATAAAGCATATTCATTGAATTTAATTGGGTGAATATTTTAGTAGGGAGACCAACGGGTAGACTGCTCTATTTTCCTTCTTCGAGGTATCCCTATACCTTAATACACACTAGAAAGCTGGGCACATCTCGATGCTCAAAGCAGGGGAAGTGTGTTAAACCCATTGGCTGAGTGGGACTCCAACTTTGCTATTGTATGCTGAGACACCCAAATCACAACCATTATATAAGCCTTCATCCACGGTCCGACAGGATGTGCCCCACCTCACTGCCATATTGCTGAAAGTGGAAGCGGAATGACAACCTCAGAGAATCCATGAAAGGGATCCAATGCTCTGTGGTCCCAAAACTTGACCAAGGCGGTGGAGTCGGGCTTGCAATACTTATTAGGCGAGCAAGCCAGGAGGGCCTCCAGAGGCCTGAAAAGAATTTTAACGCGTCTTTTTCAAATCTCCAAATGCCTGGTTGGGAAGAAGCCTAAATCGACCACATGGCCATCACTCAAAAACCCTTGCCGTGGCCCGCGCGTTTGAGAAACACCCGGCACCATGCCGCACGATACCAGGCTGAGGGCAGCCGTTCAGCGTCGATGGTCTCGCGGTTCGGAAATGGTCTCGCACTGGCCGACTGGCGAATGGGTCGCTCGTCGAGCTAGTCGACCAGCTAGGGAGGGTTTGCAGTGGAGGACTCTCCTGGACTCTGCACCCTCAAGTTCACTTCATAGACTCTCTGTAGGGTTTGGTAGCAGTGACTGGCAGAGTAGATTTCTAGGAATTCCATGGTGGCCACGGTGTACCTGTATGACATATGACCGCATTTGTGATCGGAGTTGAGTTGAAGGAACACATCCCGCATCTAAAATCAATTCGCACATGGTTTACACTGAAGTTTACACCCCAGTTGATACCCTTGCATGAACGAGGTGGTACCGAACTACAAACATCTTCCATGAAGAACCTGGTTGAGCCATCTTTGGGTGGACTGACCCTCCATGCCTCCATGACCCCGCAAACATCCACAAACCTACCTACACCTTTGAGGAGATCTTAACAAATCTTTGGATCCCATAGGGTCTGTAGGTCCTCAAGCCCCGCTTGCAAAAATCGTCGGTGGGACCAATCATCCCAAGAAGGTAGGCAATAACTGACAAACATCTGAAGCCACCACGCAGAAAGTCAGCACATCCTTTTCCCATGGCTCCATCACTCCATCCCAGCGTCGTCTTCTCGGCCGGCGGAGGCTTTGGGACGATGTTGCTGGCGATACCCTGGGTGGTGCAGGCTGAATCGAATGTCACCGGCGTCCAGAAACATGCAAGCTTTCTGAAGTAGTCTCATGTATTTCTTGTGGGTATTCATGGAAACGATTGAGATATTGGTGCATTCAAGGTATGTAGTCATGTCAACAAATTCTGCTATTGTAGCACCTAAGAGGGACCTCCCTTTCTGTATTATGTTGAATTTATTCAAGTCCTTGAGTGAACTTCTTCGACCAAGAAGGTTGTATACCTACAGATCCTACAGTATACCTAGTTCATTCCATTTGTCCCTCTAGCAAGGCCACGATGCACGACGCCGTGCTTTTTTCGTGGTTCTGCCAGCACCAGAGCTCTGCCCACGACACCTCGCTTCAGCACGACCGGTCGTCGGGTGGTGAGAACCTGGGGCTCTGAACGAAAGAGATGCACTGGAGCTGCTTCACGTCCCAGGAGTCTTCGCAGGAACCTGGACACGTTCAGGTCGCGGATAGTTCTGCGACCGAATCAACAGAACAAACTGAAAGGAATCCTTGGTGCAAAGTCATGCTCAAGTGCAAAAGGTTTGGAGCTACCAATTCAATGTCGAAGCTCGAAACATATCTATGAACACAATTAGAGGAAGGAGCCATACACAAAACAAGAAACACACATGACTCCCACATATCCTGTATTGACAGTTTACATTGTCAACAAAAGCATGTCCGTTCCACATGCATTTAACACACCACATACTCGGAATGTTAAATGCTGCTAATTTTTGCGCAACAAGCGTAAACACATACTCAAACAGATGTAAAGTGCTTTGTTATTCTGAATGCAAACAGTCACATTGGTGGAGCATTCTTGGTGAAGCTTCAAGTTCCGTCATGTGCTTGATACTGTATCTTGTTGAACAGCAGCCATTTCAGCCGCACTCATCGCCCCCGCCCGAATTGGAGAGAAAGAAGTAGGAACAAGACATTTTCAGGGGCAATCACCTCTTCTGGTGTTTTCAGCACGCGCACCTTCCTAAATCTTCTGCGTTCTTGGGCTGCCCACCATCTGCTCTCAGGATTTGCATGCGTCCGGGATTCAATCCGAGCCTCACAGCGAGTGTCTTCCGGGCATCCTACGAGACAGCGGTTTTGTCTTGGAAGGACTTGATGGGGTGGAGATCAGGAGATACACCACAGCTGGTTAGCAAGTAGGTCCTGATTGGCCAGGGACCTAGTGAAATCCAGACAGCGACCACCGTTCGTGAATATTTGGTTGAATTGATCTAATATGTGCTTGACACTCCAACAATGATCCAGCAACCCCAAGAGCAAACATCCCAACACCAAAGGCATCAGTGCTGAAAGACTGCCACGGGTCTGTTGTGAAGTTCGTCTTGAAATGACATACATTCCACATGGCGGTGATGAGCAAGAACGTATAAGAACTTTTCCACACTGTCAAGCGAACAAACCTTCACCATATGTTTCAACAATCATTGTTTTAAGGTTCTATGTTAGTCTGCAGCGGCTTCAAGCAGCAGCATATGTAATTAATTACACATAATTAGTTATTAACGCAAACAAACAAACAATGACATGTTAACCACACAACTCCCATCTCTTGCGGTGCTTGGCTTCCACCACAAGGTCCACAAGGCGACGGGCTTGGTAAACCAAGGCCCATTGAGTCCGTTCGACATGGCCCGATGCCGCAATTGCCGTCAAAAAGACATGTCTCGTGACATGCCTCATATGGTTGGACTCTGGGGATTGAAAGGTCCGCTCCACTTTATGTCAATTGAAGTGGAACTTCGCTGGTTGTAAGGTTGCTTGGTCGCAAGCGCAGCGCCTGCGAGCTTCCGGCTGCAAACGCTTGTTGAAGATCATGACCTCTGAAGAGGAAACTTCTCAATGAGAGATTTCTTGCATCAAGGACTTTGGAAACTGATCTATCAAGAGAAACGTTCAGCGAACATCCAGTGGCAAATGAGCTTGGTGGGCCATTGTCCTACCGTTTGTGGTTGGGGAATCTTTAGTGTTTGAAACGTTTCATGAAAGAAGCTATCTCATTGCTTTTGTGAGATCTGAGTCTGAGGCACACCTAGTTTGCCAATCACAGGACCTTTCATGAACTGTCATGCCTTTGGCATGGATCCTGCCAAGCTTTCGGTTTAAGAATTGAACACAATGTTTAGCAATGACACTCTAATGCATCATTAAAGTTGAATGAAACACATGTCGGCCCTTGCCAGCTTGGGAAAGGCTCCACCAGCAGGACGGCAACAAGCAACATAAAGGGTGCATACACTATAGAAATGTTTGTGACCTAGTAGATGTTTGAGAAGAATATTAATTACTGTTCAATATTCTATCTATCAAAGTTCACGACATGTGTTAAGTCACCCACAACAGGAAACCTCAAGTGACTCTACACATTTGAAGCGCCCAAAGCTGGCACCTCCAGCTGGCCCCGCAAGATGCTGCTTCTCATCTCGGCAACCTGACTCAGTCCCGGTGTCGACGGTGAACACATTCGCGGACACAGAGATGTTCTTGACAAAGACATCGAGCTCTTTGATACCTTGTAAGAATTCTTAGTCGTTGATCACATGGAGGTGTCTTAACATTTTGACACCTGAAACTGAATCATATGTATGACATCTTTGTGTATGATATGTTATATACGATCTAGATCATATATCATATCATAAACAATGTATATATTTAATAAAACATAAATATATGATATATCTTGATATATATATTATTACATAAAATATTGACATTGTTCGTCTGTCTGTCTGTGTGTGTAGACACCGATTTGGCATACGGTTCCCAATCCCAAAATCCCAGAAAAGCCATGGCGTCTTTTCCATGGTCTCCAGGAAAACACTGCCACAACACGGTCACCAATCTCCAGCGCATCACACGCCACCCAGGAGGTTCTTGGTGCCCATGAAAATCCATCCGATGAACCAGTGAGCCCGCGGTGCCGACCTGCTCTTGATCCCGCGCCCGGCGGCGTTCCAAGGAGGACGCCTTTCGTGGGGACCGGTGGAGTGGGGAAATGGGCCCACGGACCATGTTGTTGAAAGGTGTTTCGGGATCACTTAGTGTCTCTAAGAGTGTGGAGCGGTCAGCAAAGGTAAACAGACTCTGAGAGTCGCTTTGCTAAGAATCAAGTTTGGACCAAAGAACCATGGAACATCATGGAACATCAAAGGCCGCCACCTTGTGCGCTTTGGACCAATGATTTGCCTTTCAGGAGTGTGTGATTCAAAGCATCTCTCAGCCACATGAAGACAGAAACGGGACATGGTGTAAGGCACTTGCAACTTCGTTTCACTCAATGTATTTGCTGCGTAAACGTACCTTTTGGATGCTTGACCCAGACAATGAAAAAGGGGCCTTGAAAAGCTCGATGTTCAGGTTTCCACGGGAATCGAAAACACATTGCCCAGATTGAAGGTTAAGGATTGAAAAACCAGGTCACTGACATCTTCAGTTTTTGGAGCAACGATTCATTTTACTGCTAAACGGACCATTTCTTGATACGCTTTGTGTGGATGCTCTGGATCAATTCGGTCCTTTGGAACCGGGAAAAAGGAGCCTGACTGACTTGGAATTATGTTTCAGAAGGAAGGAATGCATGTACATACATACATGCACTCGTTATATACATGCCTTTGATAGAACCTGGTTCCTAGCTACGGCTACCGCCTCTAGTCCATAACTTTCTTTTGGTTCCCCTCGGAAGTTTGAAGGTTCTGTGTTTTCAATTGTTTGTTGCTTTTAATGTATATATATAGATATACCGAGAGAGATGCATAGACAGAAAGAGCCTGAATGCAAAACATGTTCCTACTTTTGCCGGAATCGTTCTCCTTGCTTTCCACCAGCCATGGTACCCATCTTATTAAACATTGGTTCAACCCCAATATGGTCTGGTTCGTCCACTGTCCAATCTGCTTTCTCTCAATCAGCTATCAAATATATTCAATAGTGGGAACATATCTGATAATCATACACGTGCCCATATGATTCAAGACCACTTCAGAGTCTTTAGATAAGGGGGGTTCGTATGGGAAGTGGAGCTACTAGGCATGAATTCAAGCACCCCTCGAAAACGATCTTTATGAAGGACATTTTGACTTTCCGGAATCTCCCCTCTCGATTCTTGGGTGTGAGATTATCATGGATTATCTCTTTTCCTCGTTTTTCCTCTCATGGAAGATTGCCAGTTGGGTAGATCGACCATCGCTATAGGCGATTTAGCTCATGGACGTCTAAGAAAATCATCCCAACCGACTTGAAAAAACACTTATTAAAGAACACGTGGGTGCTCCGCGTGCTTCGCGTCCGCCTCGGACATCAAAGAGCCCCGGCTGTCTTTCAAGCGTGTATCCTTGCAAAAACTGGGCTGGCTGTGTGGTCAATCTCCTAGAACACCGCAGCAAGGAGGTTCTTTCGCCAGGTGCTTGGGTCCTGATTCACCCCAAGCTTCACTGGAGTCCGTCATTTCATGTCATGTTGATCAGCCTGAGTGCGATGTTGAAGCACCATGGACCATATCAAGATAATTGAATGACCCAGTATCATTGTACCAACCCTCACTCTAGGGATCTCCTCACCGGTCACTGTGGCGATCTGCTCAGATATGGGGAGGTGGAGAGGGAGGTGGACACTCTCAGTCTGTCTGTCAAAAGTGCAAGGGCCTTGCAGAACCCCAAGAGTATCAAGCCAACCAGCCAACTCAATGCTCCAGCCAGTCCGTTTGTCTTCAGCATCTGACAAGCGTCCTGTTTCTTTCCTCGATCCAAAAGTACCCAGAAGCTCAAGACGGCTGCTGAAAGTTCAAAGGTACACTATAGATAGATAGCTAGCTAGCTAGCTAGCTAGATAGATAGATAGATAGATAGATACATAGATAGAACGATAGATTGATAGATACAGATAGATAAATACGGATATAGATAGATATAGATATAGATAGAGATACAAATAGATTGATTTAGATAGATCGATAGATATATATAAATATAGATATATAGATAGATTAGAGATATAGATAGATAGACACAGATAGATAGATACAGATAGATAGATACGGACAGCCTGACTCAGACATACAGAGACACACAAACAAATCATATAGACAAATAGATAGGTAGAGAGATAGAAAGAAAGGTAGATAGATAGATAGACCAACATATATTGATAGATAGATAGATTTAGATTTAGGTATATAGAGATCGATAGATAAAGACTGATAGTTACATAATGATAAATAACTATAGATAATTACATATTATAGATAGACAATGATAGATGGGAAAAACATATATATATATAGATAGATCAATAGATAGATTGATAGATGGATGGCTGGATAAACAAATGGATAGATAGATAATAGATACTGTAGATGGATAGATAGATATAGGTAGATAGATACCTGGTCACCTCGTCAAAAATCACTTAACTCGGTTCATATCTGCAAAGCTTAATTGACAACTGCCCAAAAAGCCGCAAGGCCGAGTCAAGAGTTCTCCTGTCTTTGGGACCCTCTTGTCCATGGGTCCATCGGGATGTGGCCAGCATATGGCAACAAGCAAGCTGTTTGACGAAGGGAAACATCAAGGACTTGAGTGCACCGCTCCCCCTGAGATTCATTATGATTCACCATCAAGGGGTTGGGGAACTCCCTGTAGCTCCTTGGCTCCTTGATTAATGGGGAACATGGATACCTGCGGCTCCTACGAGCTGAGTCTTTGTTTCAACATGTTTCACCCCTCTATTTGGGGGAGTCACAACCATGTTGTTGCAAGCAGAACTGTGGGTTATATACCTGTAAAACATGTAGCCCCTCTCTCCCCCTCTCTCTCCCTCCCTCCCTCCCTCCCTCCCTCCCTCTCTCTCTCTCTCTCCCCCTCTGCAGTCCTGTGCAAGCTCCGGCCGGGGCCTCAGTTTGGATAGAAGAAACAGAAATAGAATCTGGAACTCTGGAACCGGAACCCCCTAACATATTCCACACACACACACACACCGTGATTATTCGTTCACAAAGGACTTGGGATGTATTCCCAACCACACGTCCATGGCTGTTCACTCAAATGAGAAGTACAAGGAGCGATCCAAAGTTTCCAGCAATGATCATAATGAGTTTCACAAAATGCTGAATGGGGCGCCAGCGAGTGCATACTGGTCTCCGGAAGCAAACGGGTTCAAGAAGCCCAATTTCGAGTTTAGGCCTTCAATGCATTGTTTTCATCGGACGTTGAGCTGTCTGACAGAGCAAATATGTTGCATCCAAAAACACGGGGCAGCCCTGTGCACCGGGATATGCGTTCCCCGTGCGTCCCCATCAGCATGGGACGTCTTTTTGCTGGACGACCCCATCGGCTTGGCGACCCAAGCTCTTTGAGGACGTAGGAGATCTGGCCTCGGCCGACCCCGGAGCGACACACGGGCGATTCAACACATTCCGGACACCGGGCGATCAATAGAATCGTGTGACATAAAACATCTCACCATGGTGGACTGTTTTCAAGGCACGTTCCTTCCAAAAACCCTTGGAAAACGCTTTCCATGTCCAGTTTGCACTTGCCTAGGTATAAATAACATAACAAAATACATGCATTTCGAACCGTTGGATCTTGATCAACTTCTCATGTTCCGGAAGCCCAAACGGCATTCAAAGATTCACAGTTGGACCGTCCAGACCAAGTTGCGGTCTAAACTCATCAAGTAGAGTAGGCCCAAACCCACAAAATGGAACAGAAAAGAATCCAAATCCCCATCTCTTGGATGTTTCGGTCTTGCTTTTTTTGCCGCGAAATCCCGATGTCGAGCCACTCCCCACTGCTTCGCAGTCGGCATCCTGGTTTGAGCAAGTTTCGGGCGCGTGGCGAAGCCGGGCGACGCTTGACGTGGGAGTTTGACATTGCTAGTTGATCTCTTGCCATATTGTCGTAGATCGACAAAATGCAGATTGGAGGTCTGCAGGTCTGTTCTGGAATTCTTTGGCACACGTTTACCTTTGGCACACAGTTCCTCTGTTCTTTTGGAGTCTTATGTGCATATGTTGTAACTACGTACATGTGTTGTTCATTAGTCAACCTACACCTCTGAGTCCAAGCTTAAAAAAACCGACACTCCCAGTCCAGTGGTGAAGGAGACATATCGGGATCATATTCTAGCATCAAGAAAAGGACACATCTAGGCCATTTTGTCCTTCTAACTAGTGAAGCTGCGACAATTGACTAACAAACACCCGGAGCAAAACAGGGCAGTCAAATGAATGCCGTGCACCAGGATATCGCAATGAACACCTAGGCAAAAGGATAGCGTGTTTGCCATTGTGGCAAAGCTACCTTTGCTGTAAGTTTGGTGCCAGCATCTCAATGGAGAAGAAGAAGAGGTCAACAGTCAACGGGGTCATAGTAGCCTGGCCCAAAACTCAAGCCACCTCTACTTGTGAATGTCCAAGCCTTGGAGATCCATGTGTTTTTCAATCATTGGTACTGTCACCACACGAGGTGCCTGTAACATGGTTTGGCAGCTTGGCCCAGCTTGGCATCCCGTCATCGTCACTCGCAGAAACCCCGGGTCCTGTGATCTCAAGTCCGAACTCAGCGTCAATCGGGAGCCTCCGGAACGCTTCATGAAGCTCCCAGAGGGTCCCAGTCTGGCTGGGGAAATCTCGACCCTCCCCTCACCGCTGATCATGGAAGTGGACACCCCGCTCTTGGTGGAAAATAGTCTTCCAAGCGGCCAGAACGTCCACTTCCATGATTGTTGGAGGGAGAGTATATGCCACGAATCCGGCGCAAACAAATACACCAAAAATTTAGGGGACCCTCCCACAAATACCGGTCAAATTTGTGTTTTCACTTCTGCCAAGATACCCAGCGTCTCGTCGACCTGATCAAAGGAGGCAACACACATCAGAGTGCTGCCCTACCACTTGGCCTAGACCGACCTTCTTTACTAGATAACGCTCGGCGATGTTTCACTCACACAGCGCATGTCATTTTCTTCCAACGTTCGCTCCACTCAGAGGCAATGAAAATAAGAGATAACGTCTCTGAAGTTTCACCGCCATGAAATAATCAAGGGCCTTACGGGGTGATGTTTAAAGCGCCTCTCCTCTTTGTTTTAGTTCAGCACCGTCGGATACATCGGAAGGTCCAATCAATGGTGATGGAAGTACTCGTGTCAACTTGTCAACCCTGGATACGTCACCCAAGCCAAGGGTCCACTCCACACCATTGCCAGGGAGACCCCTATTATGACCAATAAGGTGTAGTGACAGCGTAATTCATCGAATCCCTATGAGTCGTTGCTTGTCGGGATTTTGCCACATTCAGATCGCCTTTCGTGTCTGTGTCTATCTTCTGGAGCTGCTCTAAATAAAAACGTTAGACGTGAGCAGTTGATCTATATAATTCTCAAAAATGCCCAGTAACTCTAAGTGGCCCTCTGACCAGTGCTAAGACAAACCAAACAGGAAAGCTTCAGTATGCTTCACTATCAATGATTGGAAACCACCGCTCTTCAACAAATCCAAGCTCTACACGTACTTGGTGCACCTTCCTTAATTCCTGTTGTCAGACTCCATGCTCAAATTGACATGCCTCATACATCAAAAGGAATAATTAGCTAGTAACTGTTCCTTCTCACCGATGCAAGACCATGCAAGACCTACAGGTCACGACCTGTAGGCAAGGTCTGTGAATTCTGCTGAATTCTGCCAAGGTGCTCGGAAGCGGGGAGAAGATTGTACTGAGATTCGTGGAGACGAATGAGTTGAGCATGCCTTACATTGGCCGTTGACAAAGCACCGAAACATGTGACTAATCCCGAGCACTTATCAAAAAACACTTCCCGATTTAAAGGACAATGTCGGAAACCTATAAATATGGTCTACGATTGTTTTGAGCATGCTGCCCTTTCCAGCAACTACTAAGCCACCAACATGGTCGTTTTTGGTGTAGTTTTTTTACACATTAGGTGCCTAAAACAACCCTAAGTGTCCACCTCTGTCCACCCTGTCCGTGCACCATGACACGCTGCGTTTAAACCAGCATGTTGTTCTTTCCGCAATGGCACGGACTCACGCAATCGCACTGTCCACCGAGGCCGGGCAACACTGCATGGCACAGCGACACCACCTTTCTAAAGCTTTAGTTGTTATAGTCTAATGAAGAATCACTATTCTAGTAATTTTTGTAGAAGGAAAAGGAAGACCCTTCGATCTGCAGAGTGTTTTCAATCCGTGATACGAGTTGAACACTAAATGATTCTATATCAAATTTTCCTAGGCGACTTTTCGGTTTTGAGACTCTTCGCAGGTTTCCACCTTTGCGTGTCCCCCCATTTCAGGAACCCCCCACAAAACAAAAGAACGCGCCTAAGTTTTGTTCTTGTGTTGGGCGTGGGCGTGTTTTTAATAGGTGGAATGGATTACTGTTACTACTCACCCAACATCCAACACCCCAGCCTTAAGAATTACCACAAAAACTCCAAGCGAGACCACACTGTTTGGGGAATTATATGGAATGATGCAATGATTCCCTTGTAAAAATGGAGAAGCAACAGCAAATGCAACAAACAGTGAGTGATCTGAAAGCATGGCGACTCCCCCTTTCGCCTCAACTGATGATTATTTCTCAGCTGAGCGTGTTGATTGATGTCTCAAATTCAAGGTGAAAAGCTGAGACAAGTGCCAAATCAAATCTTCACAGTACATTGGAGCCCGTGTCAAAATGAGCAAACCTGGAAAAAAACAACTGGGAGAGAGGAAGTAGACTTGAATCCATTGGTTGTGGATCACTCTAGTTCGACCCAACCACACAAACCCATCTGCTCCAAGCAGTCTTGATGGGAATCCACATAAAATTCCTCCAAACTGGGGGATTGCCATCAATCTTGTGACGCGCTCTTTCATGGGTCTTCCCAAGGTGCGGTGGGCAGCGAAACATTGGCCGTCCTGGGACAGGCCGCTGGGATGGGTGGTTCCGTTCACTCCTGGTCCCGTCCTCTACCTTCGACAGGGAGTGGAAAGTGAAGGTCATGAAAGTTCGGTTGATCTGGGATAGATGGATCATGAGAGGGGTTCAGAAGCTTGAGCCCGCCCATGTGGTGATACGCAGGGCAAACATGTGCCGTCTCAGCAAGCACGCACCAAAAAGGCTATAGGCTATTATAGGTGAGTATGTTAAACAATTGGAGATTCTTTGCACATGCACATGCCAATCATTGGGACAACAAGCCTGTGCACGCTTTAGCCTGCGAGCAGGCACCAAGATGATGGGCAACATTATGATTCATGATGCAAAAGGTCTATGCCTACGCACGAAGCACTGTCACCCTACAAAACCACCCTGAGACGAACTCAGAAGTAGGTCATTGCATTCCAGGTCATTTCACTGCCCGGAAGAAGATGTTCACTACAGAATAATAAATTGCTGTGGATTCAAACCAGGAGACCTTGGTTGACCCACCAGCCAGGTCAACCAACCTGGGTTTGGAGCTCAAGATTTTGACCCCCATCTCCTAATGATTTACTCTGTTAGGTCTTGGAACCTTGACCAAGGTCTTGGAACCATTAGGACTCCGTTAGGACACCACCAAGGTCTTGGAACCGCCTTCTCACCCCACCCGCTCTGTCATGCGCTCTCGGTTTCCTGTTGGCCGCAGGGCTCAAGCTACGACTCACCTCCTGGGTCGCTCGGAAGGAGCGGTAGCAATGTGAGCCACCGTGGCACCGTCTCTGGGGTCATCTTCAAGTGATTTTGGTCAATAGCAACGTACATGCTGTGAATGGCCGCTCTGAGCTGAGACGAGGGAGGGAGGGAGGGAGGGAAGCTCAAAGTTGAAGGCTCGATGGGCCGGACATGTGTCTGACATACCGACTCCAAACTTTCAACATCATGGGGTCCCAACCTTCAACCTGTGACCTGAAACTCCCACCGTTCTTAAGATGGTGGATGTTATATATTATACATGTTATGTCCAGCTTAAACATCTAAGATCGAAAATCGAAACAAGCGGTCTGAAGGATAGTGCCATTTATATACCCTGAACTCGCGATTCTTTTCCACTTCCAGATACTTCCAGTCATGCGTTTCTTGCCTTCCCAGCCACTGGTTTTGGCGACAGGCTGTTGGGGGCCAGGCCGTCGCTCTGAGATATCCTCACCGCGGGCCCATGAGGTGGAGGTTTCAGAGGCTGTTAAGGTGTTCAAAAGTGCATTCTGGATCCGGGTCAGTTTTTGCACGTCCGATGACTGAATGTTCAATAAACAGACAAAAATCGATAAAATACGTCTATCACGCGCCAGGGATTCATGATGTAAAAATGAAACTACCTCAACTGCGGATAGCTGAATAGCCGTTCAACTCCCCTGGAAGCTCACATAGATGGGCCTGAATTTGATACCCTACAGTAAAACTGATTGAAACAAAAAAGTAGAAACCTTGACCACCAAACCTTTATTTAACTTTCTTGCGCATCACAAGTGGGAGATCTTCAACCCGCACTTCACCAACGGTTGGCGATTGCAAAACATCATTACAACCAGAACATGTGTGTATGTGTCCTGTGTCCTGCATGTGTCTCAACATATAAACCTCGGAAGATCCCCAAACATAGAGAAGAAACGCGCGCATATTTATATATTATACTGATACTGCTAATAGTAAATATGTATATATATATATTATATACTATATATACATATATATGCAGTAGTATGTGCACAAATACTAAGAGGCATCTCTGTGATCCACATTTAACTTTCCAAAGCATCCCTTCACAGTTTACATCGCGCTCTTTTCTTTGGCCTTTCCTCTTTGCTCAGCGTGAAGCGTTCTCATTCTGTGCCAGCAGGCGATGATTTGCACCTTGACTTGGTGGTTTCGAATCCACCCTGGTCCGCTTTCTCTGATGTCATTTCCTTCATGTTTCTGTCGATTGTGTTTCATCCTTCCTGTCGGTTTGTCTTTGTTGTCGTGGAGTCGTGGAGCGCTGGGCGCGAGCGCGTCCTTTTCTTGACGGCCCACCGATCCCAGTGAGCACATGTGACCACCAACGCAGGTCTCAGTTTTGGATCTCTGGCTGGTTTGATGATGTTGGATCTTCCTTTCCTTTCCTAAAAAGACACCTCCCACCGCTGGATATATGACACACATCATACCTAGAACTTCCTCAGAGTGTCTTTTTTGATCTGTAGAGTAAAAAAAACACATCTTTTGGAGTCACAGCCTTATATTTGAGTCTCCGGATGTTTCTCTAGTTTTCTGATTTGTTCTGACATTCCGCGGGCGTGTATACACAAGCTAAGGGCGTTTATTGGTGAGCCACGACTGATTTTTTCTTTTTTTAACGTGATCTTTTTAACGGATGTTTATTTTGGTTGCGGATGTATATGTGGTTAACAGACCTAAATAAAGGTATGATGAAATACCGACAAAAATTAGCAACCACGGTTTTGGTGAGCCCCCTATCGTTCGCCAGGGTGTGGAGCATACCCGCGTATAAATGCAACGCTCCTGTGCAATGGTAATCATGTTGAATGATATGAAGACTAGAAGATATTAGAAGTTCCTTGAGACATGGACAAAATACTCTGTCAAAGCACTCCCAAGAATCCCAGTTCTGATTCTGACCAACCCAAACTCACAATGATGCAGCTGAAGCCTTTCTTTCTCAGTAGCTGTAAGCATGCAAAACATTGCCCATTTGGTGTTGGAATGTGTTTCAACGTCACTATCATGATCAACCATCCCAACCACAGCGAAGGCAAAGCTAAAAAAACTGCTGGAATTAAATTTCGAAGCCCGCGGAAAGGACCTTCTATGTCCTGACACCCTCGCTGATTTATTCTCTTTCCATCACCACTTTCCGGAACAGCAGCGCTCCTGGCATTTGACACCTCAACGCGAGTGAAAACGAGGCACTTGAACCACCACACTGATCCTCTTTTATGGACCAAAACACCCACGTCTGAGAAACCAACACCATGTGGCGTAGCAAACCAAGAAACGTGGACAACGCAAATGGCAGATCTATCTTCGCGGATGGGATGCGAAGGTGGACTCGACCGGACACGAAGTGACACGAAGTGACACGAAGTGACACGAGCCCACAACATGAGCGTCCTTGCCTCTAGTAGCGATGCCCTTTGCTCCTAGTAGCTTCTTGCTCCTAGTAGTAAGGCCAGGAGCCCCTAGTAGTGTGCCTGAACCCTGCCTCTGTTTTCTTGGTTAAACCATGTTAAACCCCTGTAACATCGACAAACATTGAGCTAGGACTCCTTCCGACTTCCAGAGTGCAAGCTCCCCACTTCCGCGGCGCAGGTTGGAAGTGACCCACACAGTACTGTAACCCATTTGGGTCCAACAAGGTCAATGGAAAAATGGGCACCGTCACTGAATGGTCCATGGCTTAAGGTTTTCAACCCACATGTCATGTATCTGGAGTAACTCCACGTGTTGCGTGGAGAATGCCAACAGGTCTCTTGTGAAAAACAAACAGGTTGCTCATGAATAAGCTGCCCGAAGGTGATAGTTAGGAAAAGAAGCCAGCAGCACAATGCAATCTGACAGAAACAATAAGAACCATTATGTAAGCCACAAAAAAACACGATCTTCAAGCAGGGCACAGCAGTGTTTCTCGGAGTGATCTGAAGGGGTTCCAGGTCCTCTCGCTCCTGTGGCGGCGGAGACGGAATCTTAGCACATCACTGTCTCCACTGTGAAGGGAAACCAAAAAAAGAACCCTAGCCACACCATGCCACACTTCTTCAATTAACATGTCGATTGATGTGAAAACGATATCTAGCTCGTTTTCAACATCGTTTTCAACATCGGTTTCGACCTTCCACCGCCATGGTCGAGCGGTCGAACGGTTTGGGCACGCGTTGGTTGTCCCGCCCGGCATAGTCGAATTCCGGGTCGAACGGTGGAAAGCGGTCTAGACCTGAAAGCACTGAAGAAAGCACTGTGACTCCTGGCCTGAAAGGCACACATCCTTTTGAAGCCCTGCTTCTTGACGCTCTTTGACAGACTACTACGGGCTTTCCTTTAGCAAGTTTAATCAAAAACTTGCCTTCCTCAAAGGGTCAGCTTGGCAGCTGTCCAACTGGAACCATGCATCCTCAAGAATGCAAAAGACAATTTGATGAATCGTTCCCCGTATGCCAGGGACATGACCTGTCACGGGTCTCTCTCTCTCTCTCTCTCACCAGAAAAATTATAATTACAAGAAAAAAAATCTGCCGCAAAACCACAGTTATATAACATAGTTCACTCAGCTCACCTTGTGAAGCTGGTGACAGCCCTTTCCAGCTTGTGAAGCCAACGGGTCAACCCTCACACCCCCTTACCACAAACAACATCAAACAACTCTCCTGTTGGTGGTGCGGTTGCAGGTTGAACATCAAGCGTCAACCTGAATATGCTATTGCCAGTATTGGGACGAACTGGGTCCTCAGACTCCACGGATTCGAAGTCACCAAATCCGCAAATAGTAACAGGTGCCACGCTACTAGTAACAAGTGCCTTACTAGTAGTAACAAGAAGCTACTAGGAACAAGTGCCACGCTAGTAGTAACACCACTTTGCTCCGGCCTTGTTGTTTCCCAGCAGTTCCGACATCCAGTCGATGTTCTGCGTGACCGGCGGCGGCGCGCCACCGTATTTGTCCTGATGGACAAAGGATTACAAAGGGATATGATCGGTGCAGCTGAAACAAGCCTGGAATTTTGGCTAGTATCAACCGCATACAATATGTATCTCCTCCAAAAAAGCATCTCATTCTGCAACGAAATTCCAATCAGGCCTCCAACAATTGCGCCTAGACCTTCTACATGATTCGGAACCCCCAAGCCCTGCCAGGATACAACTTGGAACACCTCGCCAGGCTTAATTCATATCACGGTACATATACATATACATATACATGTATATATGTGTCGTCTTGTATATGTGTGGAAGTCACCTGCACTCAAATCACCGTTTTCTCAATTGTCCAATTTCATCCAATTTCTCAGCCATCCAATGCGGAAGCTCACTGGAGCCCTTCAAGCTGGGACCTGCGGTCCTACATACCTCTTATCGCTGCGACTCCTACCATCTCAGATCTACCGACAATTCAAAAGTCCACCCTGCGGTTTTCCATATGTGGCCCCACAAACCAACCCTGGTGATGAACGTGTAAGGAACACCACCCTGGTTCTGGTTCTTCCAACGGGATGAATTACTATCGGTCTGATGAACTCACCTTCCTTGTGTTGATGAAGTGCGCATCGCCCCCAGTGGTGGCCGTACGTTCAGCAGCTTCACCAAGCTTCCTTCACTTTGGCGATGCGAAGGCGTAACTCTTCCTCTGCCAATGTGAGCACCAAGCGATGAAACTCCACAAAAGTGGCCTGGAATGCGCCGCTTTCCAGCCGATGAACGATCACAATAAAGAGACCGAAAGCCCGACCCGATGGGTTTATATAGCCTGTTTGGGATTCTTGGGGGTCTCCCTCTTCAATACAGGCAGGGTTGGACACTCAACTGATGAATCGAACTACTGGGACAGCTTCAGCTTATGCAAAACCCAGGCAAATTCCGCTACACTGGGCGCAAACGAATGCCGGACTAGTGCTGCGCAGGGAGACTTCCGAAAGGAACCATTCTCTGATTCTATACAGTCGGTTAAAAGAGCCATAATGATGCCCATAACTCCGGATCTCTCTTGGCACCATTGTCCCATCAAAACAGTTCGGCAGGAATGGCGTTTTGCAGACATCAAGTCTTCGCACATGTTCGCACATGAAAACAAACGCTGCTCTGCCGCTGTCTCTTCTTGAGGGATGGTTCTCTGCGTTTCAGAGGCGTCGTGCCGATCAACAGTTACGCCATATACAGCAACTGGTCTCAACTCTTTGATCTTTTCTGTTCTTCTTCCTACAGCACGAGGCACGGGGCAGTCTCTTCAACATCTTCGTCTCAAAACAACAACGACTCCCTTAGTGACCGTATAAGCAGTATAATATAGTATAATCACCTATCTAGATAGGGTCTTTCACGATGATCTCATGACACATAGCTCCAACTCACCGCACGGTGATCCATGGTGATCCTAGGTGATCGTATTGCCGAACCCCGGAACTGCATTGCCGAAACGCTCGTCGGACGCTTCGTTCTCGGCTTCCTCTGGCGAACCCACGCCGGTGCCAGCCTCACTCACGCTCCGGTCGGGAGGACCTGGATAGAGCTCCTCGACCGCTTGCCAAATGCCTTAAGGACCATGCGGTCCCGAGATCCCAACGCGGACGTCGTTCACGTGGTCTTACTGAAAGAAACTACAGTATAATATATATATATATACATACATATACATACCCTACAAGTCAAAGACTTCATTTTACTGGAGATGGTCATACAACACCAATAGTTGAGGAGTCCTGAGGAGGTAAAAGACCAGGTTTTACTGGGCCTTGGACTTGTAGGATATACTGATATACTGTCAACAAAGCCCACCAATTTAAAACGCCCAACATGTCTGTCCTTTTTCCAAACTTAAACAGCACAGGCATGTCACGGCAAACCAATTAAATCAAATCCATCGATGTACTATGGAACATTATGGAATGTGTCCAAGAGCAACAGGAACCTGGTCACATTGTTGAACTGTTCCACTATTCCACAGGCCATTTATACTTCTTCCAGGAATTAAACTATTGTGGGAAATGATTAGACCTGTCCGATACGGCCAATACGGTTTTTGATTTTTGTTATCTCCACAGGGTTGCCAACAATTGAGGTACCAGAATTGGTTCCCATCAGCTGACTGCGTGCCAGGTGTCGTTCCTGCGTCTGGGGGTCGTTGCAAGAGACACGGGCTATGAAGGGCAGGCACACCTGCAGCACGTGTCAAGGTTAATTGATGGCCATGGGTGGAGCCATCCATTGTACATTAGTACATTGCCTCGTTTTTTCTGCATGGTGGATGGATGATTGGTCATCAGGAGGGACCAAACTCGAATTCACCAACACGCTTTTGATGCGCAAGGTCTGGCCGATCTGATCCTCACGGGGGACCGGAACCGCTGGCATAAACGCCCTTAGCCCCAACGAGGCGGTGGTTCCCAACAACCCTAGATGTAACTCCACCGTGGCCAGTGGAGCGGGGTGTTCCACCGTCGGTGGGAAATCCATGGACATCCTGATCTTCTTCAACACTTCCCTTCTGTAAGTCCATCAACTTTTCTGAGGAGACACTATCAGAATTTGAACATATATAGTTTTCAAGCAGGATTTTCCTGGACATCCTGGCAGAACTGTTGATTTTCCGGTTCCACCCCTGGACAGCCTGCTTGATGTTCCTTCCACCCCTTGGGCCTCCTCCCAATTTGCTTTGGACAGCACTTGCACTCTCCGTCTTCGACACTCCTAGAGAAGAAATGAACAGCAGCTCCTATTTTTCAGCTGTGGCATTCGCTGAAGCATGCCACACACACACAAATCAGGACCTCCAGATTCTCACTAGGATGCCTTCAGCGTTATGACCCGCGTTTGGACAGGGTGCCATGTACTAACTCTATAAGAAACCATACTGGAGCACCCAATTCATTTGAGAAGCTTGACTAGCTGCCGCCACCATCACCACCTCTAAGAAGCTGGTTTGTCTCATATATATATATACACAAACATATACTGTATATATATACATATACAGGTGTATATCTATAACAAAATGATGTTGTAAAATTGTTCTATTCAGAGTCCAAGCAATATATATATAATGTATACTTTATAAACTAAACAAGCATAGACCCCAAACAGTTCAGGGGCGCGGCCAAGCCAAGAGGACAAGGCCCAGCCACAGAGCCCAGCCACGAAGCCCAGCCACAGAGTTCAGGGGCGCGGCCAGTGAGTGTGGCCAGCTCTTTTATTTCTAAGATAGAACCCCAACAGTAAACTGTTTGGGGAAATATATATTATATTATCATATGTACAACAACATGTTGGATTGATATGGGAATTCTCGACGCCCCATTGACAGAAAAACTCGGAACCTGCAAGAAGCTTACAAAAAGGGCCCAAAGACGTATGATATTATGATACCCAAAGAGAACCCCAGGAGAACAGGTGTCCATAGATCCAGGCTTTCCACTGGTCTTATAGTTTAGTTAGTAGGTCGTCCACAGGTCTTCGTCGTCAAGGAGTCCCAGCTGTTGAATGTTGTTAAGAGGCTATGGCTGTGACTCATAGGCTATTAGGCTATGAGTCATTATGACTCTCCGGATTCTGGGACCCTGGAACTGTTGCTGTCGATCTGGCAATGAAGCAAGTCCTCATGCATAGCTGCAGCTCAACAATAGGGAAAAACCACTGCACAGATCCTTGTCTCGTACCAGGAGAAAGAATTGCAAACAACAAAGGCATGTTGCATGTCAGAGCTTACATGTTCGACCATGTATGGGCCTATTGATGTTGCACACAAATCCAACAACAATGAAGCCTCTGATAACACCCACACAAACAAGAAACTGCATGTTCGACCAAATCAACACTACTGAATGCTCCAGATCAACTCCATGTTCAATTTACTTAATAGTGTCCACAAGGGAACACTCTTCCAGCTGATCTCTAACAGAACTGTTCCAACGTGTTCCAACCATGCCAAATGCCTACACAACTTCATCCCACAACTATGAAGCCCATCTATCTAAGCTGACCGACTGATGCCCCTGTCCTCAGCGTACAAATGTCCGCACTCATTGGCCAGGACCTCATCGCCTGCTGTAGCAACGGGGCAGTTCGATTTGAAACGGTGTTGCCTGCAAGTTGACGCTGCACTGGCCCTGGCAAACTAAATGCAGCCGCCTTCAACTAGGACCATCCTTCTCTAGTTCTCTGCAAACCGTTCTCCATGGTGTTACCATAGACGCAACTGGGAGAAGGGACACACCCCTTTAACCGAATTTGAGATCGCAGCAGCCCCCTTTCCACAGAAACAGATCGACTAAATCGGGATGCTAAATCCCAGCAATTGTGCAAGCAGGGTTGGATCATTTCAGATAGGCGTTCATGTGCAATCTCTAGAGGAGCTTGGACTCGGCATTGCCGAGTAGAACACTTACAAAACCCAAATGAGCAGCCCTTTTGAAATCTAAAGCGGTTCAGTCTGTGTTTGAGCATGCGACACGCCCAATAGTTATAGAAAACTCGAGTGGCCTTGTCATCTATAGTCTATATGGGTGTGTATTTTAATTACGAGACTCCGTGGCCCTGGCTGGGTAGGCTGGTCTAATTTCCTTCTTCCAGGGCGTCTTTGCTTGGTCTCGGTCTTCCTATTTGAAACACACCCAAAGGATATCATGAAGACTTCTATGCTTTTCTTTCGCTCGGTCAGACCGTCTGATTCGTGTTTTCGGCTTCTCCCCTGGGCTCCTTCGAAAGCCACGCGAGAAAGCTATGATGTCAAGCCGCTGAGTTTGGCGACGATCTGCTGCCGGAGGAAGGTGTACTTCTCATACTGCCGCCGTGACCTCTGCAGGTGGCTTTCGGCCTCTGAAGATTTCCGGGGTATCGATGACTAAAAGGGAAGCCTCCATGTTTCGTATCAAGGCGCCTAATAGGCGCTCCCCTGACTGTTTTTTGCATGACCAAACGGGGTGTCCCCAACTGCCACCAGAAAAATCACACACTGGTATTGGTTTGGTACCAACAGGAACACATACCGTGTCTGTGTCTAGCAGGCTCGCTCTCACTGCCCAGGAGAAGTCTCAGCTCTCAGTTGACTCTGCCGGAATGTGACCTACTTCTGAGATAATTTGGGAAGAACTCCCCGAACTCCCTAAGCATCTTCGGGGTCTTCACACCTGAAAGCCCTTAGCAAACACATCAAAAAGCTGTTTCAGTGTATCTCGCACAACCGCAACTCGTCGCTCAAAAAGCTGGAGCCACCCTTTCCACCTGATCACCTTCTCAGCCCCAGGAACTCTTCTGGATCAGTGCGGGAAGCACCTTGGAAGCCGAACTTGGTCCACACGGTGTGCATTCAAGTGAGATTCCCCCGAGACCCCCTGGAAGAGTAAACATAGACCAAAACCTGGTTCGGGGGAAACCCTACTAGTACACACCCATACATATTCATATAATATATACATATATATATAACTATCATATACATTGACTCTTTCGAGTATCTTTTTGGACTCCAAGTCTTGAAATTGAGACTTGTCTCCAACCATCAGCCCGAGATCCGTCATGGTCTGACTTCAGAGGGACGCGCGAAGCCAAGTTTGTCTCATCTTGTAGGTTTCCTCATCCAAAGTGTTCCACAGGTGGTCTATGGGATTGTGCTCAACTGCCTCTCAACCGCCTTGCCGGATCCGTTCCGTTTGAGATCCCAACACGTGTGCAACAGCCAAGCCAATCTGCTCTATAAACCAGGGTCAAGGTTCTGTATGGTTCCACGTTTGATGTTAGAACCCTCACTCTCCTGTTGAAGATGTGTGTTTGTCACTCCTGAGAACTTCTGGATAAAGCAAAGGACATTGGAAGCAAATCAATAAAGACTTGAAACATACATGCGCCAAAGAGAATTTGCTTGGCATCTGGAATGGGACCTAGTAACCTAGTCCTGAAAAAATGACTCTTGGTTGCCTGGTCACTGGGAGAAGGGAACTGGCCTGGCCAACAAACCAGTTGTGCAACACACCCCTCGCAAGAATTATCCCAGGGCACAAAAGTTCCCCATCTCAACATCCACCTGCAAGAGTCATCTCTTGAGCCAAGCAAATGCGCCCCGCGGAAGCCGTGGGCAACGGCTGCTGGGTCGCCCTTCCAGGCGCCCAGCACCTGGTTGTGTTCTAAGGTGCGCACGAGGTGCCACCTATAATGAGTTGTTGTCCATCCAAACAGCCTTGTAGATGGTGAAGGACATTTTTTGTTTATCATGGAACAACATTCAAGTTGGTCATGGCTCAGGTTGCTCCAGGTGCGCGTGGAGCTGACGTCCTAACTTTGGCTTTTGCGAGTCCGTACGGTTCATTGTATATACATGTACAGATACACCATATGACCGTGCGGCGGCGGCGGCGGTGGCCGTGGGAACGTTGCTGCCCGGCTCAGCTTGAGCTGGGCTGGGATCAGGTCGAAGGACTGAGGCATCGACAGCATCAGTGCGACGAGACCAATGAGGCACTTCCTCCCAGGCCGGCACTTCCTCCCTGCAAACAGGGCCTGGTCTGAGTGTTGATGTTTGAACATTTGAACGGCTTTACATCTCCAGGTATGGGGATGGATGTCCGTCCCCGAAGCGTTCACCCGGTCGCACCCGCCGTTGGTCGCGAAGTGCAGTTGTTTGCGGTAAGGTTGGTTTGGTACAACTGTGTAACTTTGTTTGATGTTGATCCTGAATCGATCGTATACATATTTTCTTTGCCATTTTGGCCTCAAGGGCCCAAAGATCCAATCTATTTTTGAAGGTTGGATTGAGCTGTTCAGGTAGGGCCTGGGGATCTTTGAGCCATGTCTGGTGTTGGTTCTGATGGTGCTCCACGAAAGGCACCTCCTGCTGTGCCTAGTTCAGGCAGCACTGATGGAGCTCCCAGAAAGGCTCCACCTCCCTTGCCTAGGAAGGCCCCTCCAGCTGCTCTACAGAGGCAGTTCGCCATGGCCCACGCCAGAGCAGCTGAGCAGATCCTCCCAGATGATAGTGTGTCATCAGTTGGGTCAAATGCTGGATCCGGCGTGTCCTGGACTAAGTTGACGGTCGAGCCTTCTGGATCGATCATTGAGCAGCCAATGGCTAGGCCGATGCCCACGATCGATGAGAAGAAGATGGACGCAACTCCTGATGATCCATGGGCCGAACAACCCGAGACTGATCAGCCCACTACGGCATACCCGGCTGCGAGCGCAGCTGCACCTCCCACTCAGGCAGCTAGAAATTTGCTCGAGGGGGTGAATGAGACTCCTGCAGCTCGTCGCCTGAGGAGGCAGCAAGAAAGGGCCGATCGGAAGGGAGCCAATCGAGTTCGTTGGGGCCAAGTTCCGCACCCAGGTCACAGCGCTCTGAACTTCAAGCTCCCCACGTACTTGCGCCAGATCGGTTCAGCGGATGGAGAAAGGTCTGTACTAGTCCTCGACAGCCGTGATCAGCGCCTGCAGAGCCCGTATCAAGGCTGGCTCTTGGACGAAATTTTGGTCAACGCCCAGGCTGGCATCAATATTCATTCTGAGCGAACATCAGTGCGATCGCCCAACGCTGGATACCACCTGAATATTTTCTACGTCCGTACTCTGGATGGGAGAAAGCTCATTTTGGTGGGGTCGATGAGTTCGTACAGCAGCGTGCCTGCAGCAAAGTGGGATGGCCTGACCGGCAGTGTGCTCTCACACCAGGCTTTTCAGCCATTTAGGTGGCCGCTCATGAGGGACGATTCGGCGACCTGGGTTGATCTGAAGGTGAAGGTGGAGGGATCCCTCCTCCTTCACTTGGAGCTGCGAGGGTACCGCTCCGATCGTGATATGACAGTTCAATTGAACTACATCAACGATGCTCTGGTGCCAGGTCTGGCTGACCTCTTGTTTGTCCCCTCGATCGTAGTGACGGTCTTCCAGGGGTGGAGAGTCGTGGCCATCTCGTTCGAGGTCGGCGGGCGCCTTTACGCGTGCTCGGACGGGGGCATCGTGGTCGCTTTGGATCATCCACTATGCCACTTTGAACTGAGGCTGGTGTCGATCTCCTCGGCAGACTCGTTCGGTTGGGATGCAGATCGCATGGAAATGCGGTTCGTGTCTGCGGGGGACAAGCTCGACATCGCGTGTTCATCGGTGGCGGCGCCGGCATCCTGGCTTATGGTCTCTCGGGTGTCTGGCCCGACCCTCGTTCGAAATGCTGAATGGTGTCGTCGTCATTTCGCTCGAGTTGAAGGACCGGACCAAGTCATGCAGCTCTCGCAGCTGGCTGGGATCCATGCTCATTGGACGGCGGCCATGCAAGCCAATGAGATCGGTGACTGTGGTCCCAGAGTCAGTGCAGTGGCGGTGGAATCCCACCCATCAAACTTGCATTTGACGTGCGAGGCTCCGCTGTTCCAGATGGAAAAGGCGATCGTCCCGACAGATGCCCTGGCCTTGCAGTACCATGACCCTGAGCTCGAGCGAGCTACAATGATCCTGCCTCCAGTGACAGGGGGGCCATCCGCTCAGCCTATCTCAAAGCAGACCAGTTCGGTGCGGGCTCTGGTAGGGCATCCAGGGAACTCCATGCCTGTGCAAGGTTTGAGGGACTCGCCAGTGTCGATCACACAGCCTGGTGAGGCTCCAGCACCTGCCTCGTTGAGCGGTAGTGCGATCCACGTCATGCGGAGGTCGCTCGACACTCGGAACAACGAGCGCATGGCAGAGGCAGCCGTGACCCCCCTTGCTTTTGTCGAAGGTGTTGGTCGAGCAATGCAAGGCCATGTCGATCCCCTTCGTTTTTCAACAGCTCTGCCCCCTGATGATTTTGCGTCGGCTGACGATCGTGAAGGTCACAGCCACAGACGTTCACCTGGGGCGCCTCGATCGTACGGCCCGGGACAGGGCCCGTCGATTGAAGAGGTATGAGTAATTGGGTCCAACATGATCCGTTTGAGCTCAACAAAGACCGGCCTCAGTGTTGTTCAACGCAGAGGCCTTGCCGATCGCGAGTGCTAAAATTTTGCTTTGTGAGCTGCTCTTTCAGTCACGGAAGGGAGGATTGATCGCCGGCTCTAGATTCTTTTTCATGATGCCGGTTCTGCCCTTCTCTTTCCGGTTGTGCTGTGAGCTGTTCGCGAAGCCACTCGTTTTTGATCGGCTAGTCTAACATCAGATCTTGACCCTGACCTCAGGTAAATGCACCCAGCTGGCTGCGGGATCTCAGTGCGTTCGCACCCAAAGAAACTGGCCACAGTCTTGGGTCAGCTTCTTTGGGGGTACACGCTGGGATCCATGTCGGTCACTGTGTTGGTCATTGAGGCTTTAGGTTCGAGGTCTGCTGAGCTTGCACGATCGTGTACGAAGTGTGCTCGTATTTTGACATTTCATTAAGTCAGAAGATCTCTGCAAACGATTAGTGAGTTCGCAGTTTGTTCAATGTAGCCAGGAATCATGGCTCAAGGCATTGATCGATGGGTCAGAAAGATTTTATCCTTGCCTGTTTTCACAGACTCGTTCTCTCAGGCGCTCTCGAAGACGCCCTTCGCCAATGTCGCTTTTGTCGCGTCCATGGAGGCAGGCTCGGCAGCAACGTTCGTGGCAAAGGTGGCCGACTGGGCACCGTCGCTCGACGCGGATGCTGCTGAAGAGCTCCTGAAGCACCCTCTGTTGTTGGAACAGTTCTGGTCTTTAGTAGGGTCGGTTGAGAAGAACTTCTTTGAATCCACTGCTCACCAGATCGGGTTCGGCATGTGTGAGCCGAGCGGCACAATCGCATTGTCGCCCGACACAGCCAGAGCCAAGAGAGCAGCAGCAGTCCAGGACTTGTTCAAGCATCAGACCAAAGCCCCGAGGAGAGTTCAAGACGCAGGAGCTGGCGATGCGGTCAGCTCGACCCCCCTTCTGGATCAGGAGAACGCTGAACGTCGGAAGTGGGCAGCTCGTCTCGAACAGATCGGCAAACGTGCAGGTTCCGCATCTCGGCTCTGGGAGGATCCACAGACTGGCGACGGACTGTCGCCGGCAGAGTCAGATCGTTTATGGCAACTTGTACTGACCGCCGGAGCTCCTCGGACGATCGCTTCGTACGTTCGAATTTTTGAAAAGTTCGAGACGTGGCTCAACAAGGAGGGGATCCCAGTTTTTCCTTTAACAACCCCCAAAGTCGTTAAGTACATGCTTTTCTTGGATGATCATGAATGTGGCCCTACCGTGCTCCCCACCTTGCGAACAGCCATCAAATGGGTTACATCTAGATTGGTCATTGAGTGCCCCGATCTGGATGAACCAAGCCTTTTGGCACTTCAACAGGAGGTGATCACGAAACGTGCCCAAACGCTGAAGGAGGCTGTTCCGATCCCACTGCTCGTGGTTAAGTGTCTGGAGTGTTTGGTGACTGATGATGGTGTTCCTGAGGCCGCTCGGATTTTTGTCTGGTGGTGGCTTTGTTTAATCTTTGCCTCACTCCGTTTCGATGACGGCAAACACGTCAAGCCGCAAGATCTCTGTATGAAAGATGCAGGGCTCTTCGGTTTGGCGTGGCAGACAAAGGTCGAGCGGAAACGTCGTGGGACTCGGTTCGCAGTCCCAAACGCTGGGTTCAGGGATCCCTTATGGCTGGTCACAGGTTGGGATCTGTTTCGTCGTGTGGAACTCGATCGTGACTTTTGGGTCCCCGAACTAAACAGCCGTAGTGAATTTTTGAAGGTTCCTCCTACGCACAGTCGAGCGACCCAGTGGCTGAAAGTCTTGGCGCGGGAAGCGCTAGACCGCTACGGGGGCGATCGGTCCAAGACCGAGTGGGCTTCAAGCGCTCGTCAAATTTTAGACCTGACAGTGCACTCCGCTCGGGTGACCATGCTCGATGCCGCGGTTCATGCAGGCCGCTCCACAGAGGAGATCGGTTTGCAGGCAAATTGGAAGAACCCCGGTCCCTTGGTGTTGAAATACACTAGGAACCGCTCGGCCGTCCCTGCTCGTATGATCCATCAACTTGTTCATGATCTTGCCGCTTCACAGGCAGTGGACGAATCCGAGGATGTAGAACTGGTAGACGCAGGGGTCATTGAAGAAGCCACACCCCAGTTCTTTATCAAGAACGTTGCGTCAGCCAGTACGTACGAACATCGCTTTCACTGCTCAGCCCTGGAGGATCCTTCCG